TTCCACCAAGCTAATACTCACAAAATGAATAAGTTGTTGGGAAATATTTCTTCAATGAACCCGAGATTAAAGATAACACTAAAAGTAAACACCAAGGAAGTGGCAGGAGACTTACTCGCTATGCTCCTAGTGCCGTGGTCGGCAAACTGAGGCTCGCGAGCCACATGCAGCTCTTTGGCCCCTTGAGTGTGGCTCTTCCACAATATACCATGCCTGGGCAAGTCTACTTTGAAGAATGGGCATTAGAAGTTTACTTTTAAAAAATTTGGTTCTCAAAAGAAATTTCAATCGATATACTGTTGATATTTGGCTCTGTTGACTAATGAGTTTGCCAACCACTGTCCTAGTGTAAGGGCTTAATTATCATGTTATCAAATCAAATCATAAAGATTCAAGCATACCTGAAATAATATTAGACTGACAATTTAAAGCATTTAATAGAATTATTGGAAATGTGGATTTATATCTAATGTAATAAATAATAATCTATGCTCTATGCAACTATTCAGCATTAAATATTAACTAATGATAATAATACATGTATACTTTTTAAATATTAGAGGGCTTACTCAAACTTATTTTTAACGCTTGAAATGAAGGATCAAAAAATTATTTAATAAAATAAACAAGAGGGTTCTTGTCCATGAAAAAAACAAACATATTCACTAAAAGAAATCCCTTGAAGCAGCTCAGAAATGGCTGTAGATTTTTTGCTTCCCATCAAGGAGCAATATATTTTCCATCTCCTTGAATCTGAGATGACCTCACTTGCTTTGGTCAATAGATGTAAGTGCTCCTGTTCCAGTTCCAGGACTAAACGGGAACTGGCAGTTTTCATTTTCTCTCTTAGAAGCCAACAACCAATGCCAAAAAGTAGACTACTGAATGCAGGAGGCCAAATGGAGGGAAGGGGCTGGTAGCCACCTTGGATGCTTAGTTCCAGCTGAATGCAAACATTAGAGTAGCCTCAACTACAGCACGTAAATAAAGCAGAACGACTCCGTTGATTCCAATCAATATCTAGCAACAGGAGAAATGATGGATCTTTGTCAATTCAGGTCACTAATTTTTGGAGTGGTTTATTGTACAGCAACAGACCACCAAAACACCACCCACTGTCTCTACAGCTTCCCTTATATTTCTCCAACTTGTATTGTTTTCATATTTTGACAAATTTTGGTTCACTTCCAGTTACTTATCCTGGACTTACCATTTTTCCCACTGACTGTCATATGTAAATGACTGGAATAACATAGCAAACCAAGTATTGAGAAGGATAAATCTTCCCCATAAACCCAGGCCCATAAACAGATGTGCCATTACATGAGAAAAAAAAATAGCTTCTTACTGTACATATTTGATTTAAGTCACTGAGTTTTGGAAGCTCTTTATAAAAAACTTTTCAACTTTTGCCTTTACGAATATATGTACGACCTATCTCATTACTGTCAATAATATGTTCATCTATGAACTCATTCTATTCTCTAATTTTTAGGGAAATATATTTTTATGAGTTCCAGTTTTTGTGGCTTATTATTCTGAACTATGTGACCCTTATGTGAAAAAGTACAAGAAGCCCTAATCAGTTTGGCTCAGTGTATAGAATGTAAGTCTGTGCATTGAAGGGTCCCGGGTTTGATTCCGGTCTAGGGTATGTTGGCACATACTTTGATTGTTGGCACATCCTAGTAGGAGGTGTGCAGGAGGGAGCCGATGGATGTTTCTCTCTCATCAATGTTTCTAACTCTCTATCCCTCTCCCTTCCTCTCTGTAAAACATCAATAAAATGTATTTTTAAAAAAGAAAAAGTACAAGAAGTTTAAAAAGTATTCAGAAATTAATAGTTTTCTAAAATAATTTTCAGAGGAAGCTATAAAAATATGACTGGTATTGATCTCAGTAAATATTACATGTTCAATTGAGGAAACATATCCAAATAATGTGTGCCATAAAATCAAACTTTTTTCTTACTTAAAGGATAATAATAATAAAAATAATTCACAATACCTCTACTTATTTTCTAGTAATGAGTTCCTGGTAAAAGAGAAAAGTAAGCCAAAAATCCAAAAAGATAAAGAAAAAAATAGTTTCTAATTTGGTAGAGTTTATTTAAAAATTGAGTAAAAATTATAGAGAACAAAAGACAGGAAAAAATGTACCTAATAGACTATGTGCAAGGTTACTTAATGTTTAAAAGGCTAGAGTGTGGAAAAGGATGTTGTTACAAGCTGTGTGTATGTGTGTGTGTGTGTGTGTGTGTGTGTGTGCTGCTTCTCTTACCATTGTTGTATGACTAATGAAACATGCTTTATTTTTCTCATAATGGTACCAACAACATCAAGTAATGTTATTTGAGCACTAACTTTTTCTAAACACTGGACATATTTATATAATTAGATCTTTTTATAGAAAGATCAATTTTGATCAACCCCAGTTTAAAGAGGAGCAATCTGAAGCAGAGAGGTTAGTAATTTGCCTAATATTACATGTTGGCAAGCATTAAAGTAGAATTTGAACATAGGCAGTAAAAATACAGAAGTTGTGTTCTCTACAACTATCATGCCTGCCTTCTGGAAATAAAAGTACTATGAAAGGATATCATTTTACTTAATATAGTTGTGAAAGCAAATTTACCGTTAGAGGTTATGTTTATTCTTTAGGACTATCCACCATCCTGCAGTTAGAAATTGATGGAACTTACCATTATGTCATGTTTATGCTCTGATTTTTACATTGGTTCCTCATTGCACTCAGCAAAATACAGAGCAGATCATTAGTATTCAAAACTCTGTATTTCCTGGCCCCTTCTTATTTCTCACCCCTTCTTTCTATTTCCTCTTCACTCACTACTCTTTAGTGCTCCTGGCCTCCTTGATGTTTCTGAAACAAACCAGGCAAATTCTAGCTTTTATCTCTGCCTTTCCACATATCAACATTCCTAACTCCTTCAACTTTTAAAAGACTGGGTTCAAATCTCACCTCTTTAATGAAGCATATCCTGATCATCTTATTTAATACTGAAACTTACATTGCAACACCTCTTCTGTACTTCGAATGCTGCTCACCCAGCTCTTATTTTTTTTCATATCTCTGGCCAACACCTATCTTTTATAAATACGTGTATTTATTCATTTGTTTATTATATTAATTATTTATTGCCGGTCTCTGTTGCCAAAAACCAGTTTTATAACATAAGGAATATGCCTTGCTCCACAGAGTAGTTGCTTTTATTTAAAGAATGGATACATTGAATTTTATTTTTGTTAGACCTCAGCAGAGGATATTTTTTCCATTATAGAGAGAGTGGAAGGGAGGGAGAGAGACAGAGAGTTACATCAATGTGAGAGATACACACTGATTGGTGGCCCCCTGCACACTCCCTGACTGGGGCCAGGGATCTAGCTTGCAACTGAGATACACACCCTTGACTGGAATTAAAATCAAGACCCTTCAGTCCACAGGTCAATACTCTAGTCATTGAGTCAACCTGGCTATGGCAATATATGTAATATTTAAATGTGAAAAATCTTACGAATGCCCATGGATACCAGCCCATTCTAAGTAACATGCTCCCCAAATTATTTTTAAATTTCATCCTTTGGACTTCATACATACTGCATTATCTATCTAGATTATTTGTCTGTCATTTTCTATCCAGAATTCCCAGTCTTTCTACTGAAATAACTCTTCCTAAGTAATTCTCTTAGAAAACCTTAGCACTCTCTTCCCACAAAGCCCACATGATATGTCTCATACTTTATCGATAGTGCTTAAAACTATGTGTATTATTTTACCTTTTGACATGTTTTTAGTCATATGCTCTAACTCACATTAGCTTGGAACATTGAATCCTCATAGTCCTATCTACAGCATCTGGTGCAGTGATTGACATATCTCAAACCTTCAGTTAATTACATGAAAAATGCCTATTTCTGTTTTTCTATGACAAGAATCCTATAGACTTAAAGGAAATTTATGCTTATGCTCAAAAGAGCTTTTAAAAAATTTAATGGTCTAATCTCAGCCACTGGTATAAGATATACTCTAGAAACCAAAGGCTCAGAACAAAATTACTTGAGTTTTCTTTACCGATAGCATTTTGAAGTAGATTATAGCATCCTATTTTGAAATCTAAGGTCTGCAGGTTGTTGGGTTCTTATGTATGTGTGCATATATGTAGATGGGACATGGGAATAGAAAGAGTTTGAGGGTAATGTTGAATTTCGCCGAATAGTTATTTTCAAGCATACTTTGAAAGCAACTCTTCCTTCGTGAAGGGATGTATGGTCTGTCTCACATACATCTGTCTATCCAGAGACTAAAAACCTTGCAAAGCAGCAGCATCCATATTTCAGCAAAATCAATTCATGTGGGGAAAAAGCAATTTGGGTAACATAATTAAGTTCTCATCATTTTTTCTTTTGGTACAATTAGCCGTATATGCACAAGGATGGATTCAGACAGTTTCTGTGAAATTTTTCAAGAAAAAAATAGCCAAGGGAATAATGTATTATGTACCCTTGGGCTAATTATGATCTCTTTCTTTCTCCCATATGGCTCCAAATGCCCTTTTTTAATTCAGTCATAAATTTTCAGAATTATGTATCTGCATCCACCAATGATAAAATACTGATAGAGCAAACAGTGCAAGTTTTTCTTTTCTTTTTTTTTTTTTTCTTAGAGAATTCTTTAGGAGGTGATATTGAGGAAAATACCAATATGTAGATTAACCTCTTATTTTTTAAAGTTGTTTCCCTACTTCAGTATTTTTTAAAGTTGTTTTTCTACTTCTACTTATTTTTTAAATTCTGTTCTTCTACACATTTCACTGAAACTAATTCTGAGAAAGAAAAAAATACCTGTACAGTTATTTATACTTAATAATTTCCAAAAAAAGAAAATATTTATTATTAAAGTTGTTTACTCTGACTTGAGACAAGTGTTTTCCTACATGATTCCAGAGTGATAACTGAAAGAATAAAATGTCAGCAGATACAAACCAACAAGGATGGAATAGAGGATGCCCGGCCTATCTGATGGCGGCTGAATATTCCGGTCCTGATCAATGGCTTGGATGGGTGGGGTAACGATGATGGGGTTCAGTTCTTCCTGAAATAAAGCCAGAGAGTTTAGTTCAGCTTCATTCATAATACCTTGTGAAAAAATTGACATTCAGACATTATAGTGTGGACAGCTAGATGACAACTGAGCCAGTAGTCTAACTCAGATTTTAATATTGGTAATATAACACGTTAGGCTGGTTAATCTTGAATCTGAAGGAGCAAGGTGACCTCCAAGTTGAAATAAAAAGTAAGTACATGCATAGAACTTTATACTAGGAATTTCTCCTCTGAGGAAATTAAGGGAGTGAGATATCAATAAATTTTAAAATTTCTCTAGATCATCTTATCAAAAGAAATATAAAACTACCAAGCATTGTTGTTATCTTCTATTTAAGATTGACAAGCATTTTTCTATGAAGGACCAGATAAATATGTGTAGGCTTTGCCAGGCATACAGTCTCTGTTGCAGCTTCTCAACTTTGCCATTGTAACAGAAGAGCAGCAAGTGGACATAATTATGTTGAAATACAACTTTAATTATAAAAACAGTGGTGAATAGGACATAGATAGGTGCTGATACTAGATTATGATGGGTATGCTAAAAAAATAAATGTACACTATGCAAAGATAAGCTTGGGAAATATTTTATAAAATATAATTTGTAAAAGTTAATCTACTACAGGTCTTCTCAGAGGATTAAGTGTGTTATTTTGCATAATGATTACCAGAGAAGGAGGTATTATTAGCACATTTCCTAGAATCACATATAAATATCTCTTTGAACTAATACTCTTAATACACAGTATATGGGTTTAAGTATTTAGAACCTTTAGTCCAAATATGTAAGTGGTAATTATAAAGGAAAATAAAGTATATCTCAATATCTGACAGTTTCAGGTTCTAATGAATTAGTACACTGTTCTTTTCTATTAGTTCTTCTCAAGTAATAGACCTTGAAACATATGTACTTTTATGCAAAACCAGTAGTTTACAATCCCAGCAGAAGCATACAATTCTGGCATGCTAAGAAAGAGTAATGATATTTTGAGCCCTGGCCGGTATAGTTCAGTGGATAGAGTATCAGACCACGCATCAGTCATGGGTTTGATTCCCAGTCAAGAGCACATACCTGGGTATGTGCAGGGCACATACTGGAGGCACCCCAGACACATTGATGTTTGTCTCTCCTTTCCTCTCTCTCCCTCCCTTTTACTCTCTCTAAAAAGAAATACATTAATTAATAAATATTTTGAAAAATAATTATTTTGAAAAACTAATATTTTGTAAAAAGAGTTGAATTTCCATCTTATTACTGAGCAGAATAATGATTTTGTTCCTTTAATATCAATAAATTCAGTTCTTCTTTTTGTTTTTCATACCTCAATTGTTTCACAAAAATTAAAATATCTTCATATTATCTAATGATTGACATTTTTATATTCATTGAGCCTATTCAACATAAATTTTGACTAGAGATCAAAGGAATAAATGATCCGTTGGTTCTATTAGAATGTCATACACCATTTTCAGGATTACTATTATATAATTTCAAACTCTAGACAATGTTTGCTGAATTCTAGTTTTTATATCTTTTTTTGGTGTTCAGCCCTTATTTTCTCAACTTGGATCTAAAACTTCTGTGATCATTTACTGCTGGTACTGTGTGGGTATGATTGTTGATGAGATGAAAAATGGCTGATAATGCATCTTTTTAATTATAGTTATATGTTATTTTTCTTTTCAACCTACTGTGAAAAAAATCTTCTCTTTAAAAAAGTTATGGGCACCAAAACCGATTTGGCTCAGCAGTAGAGCATCGGTCTGAGGACTGAAACAGGTCCCAGGTTCGATTCTGGTCAAGGGCATGTACATTGGTTGCGGGCACATCCCCGGTGAGGGGTGTGCAGGAGGCAGCTGGTTGATGTTTCTCTCTCATCATCAATGTTTCTAACTCTCTATCTTTCTCCCTTCCTCTCTATAAAAAATCAATAAAATATATTTTTAAAAAAATAAAGAAGTTATGGGCAATGTGAAAATTGTCAATTGTTTTGTTCTCCATCCATCACATGGCTATGCCTCTTCCCCTCCATTTTACTTTCTCGCTATCCCTTTTCCTCTCTACCTTCCTTCCCCCGCCAACACACAAACATGTACATTTCCAATTGTCAGTTGACTTTCTACATACCCTGTTTCCCTGAAAATAAGACAGTGTCTTATATTAATTTTTTCTCCCAAAGTTGCAGTAGGTCTTATTTTCAGGGGATGTCTTATCTTTCCATGCGCTAGGTCTTCTTTTCGGAGGATGTCTTATTTTGGGGGAAACATGGTAGTGCCTATATTTTTCTATAAAGTGAAAAAATTCCAATACTGTTCAAAGCACATGTTTGAATGTAGAAGTTATGGGTTGATCAGCTCTTCCTAGCCACATGTAAAAGGAATCTGATGGTATCAGCCAATGTCAGCTTACAGATGAGCCTCATTACTCGTGGTTCAACTATAATTAACACTGAAGTAACTTTTCCAAAAAGTGTGAATCTTCTTAGATCTCGAGAGGCATTACAAATCTCAGGATTTTCTGAAATCCCATCTCATTTCCTATGATCAGGGCAATATACCAAGCATTCCTAATTAGACTCCAGCTTTTTGAAACAACTTAATTACTTACCTAATTAAAAAAATATTCTGAGCTGTTCTGTTAGAGCTAAATGTAAACAGATCATGATATTTAGGATGTCCCTGCTAATCACCTTCACTCTGCTTATTTCTTTAGCACTGTTAAGTAATCAACACATAAGAAGTGTTTAGAGTTTTGGTAGCCATATTGTTTAAACATCCTATTTTTATACCATCTAAATTTGTTGGAATAAACAATGGAGTTTTAATCATATTCTTTAGAGTTACATAAACAATAAAAATTTAAAAATAACATAGCAAACAACCAAGAAGGAGGAAGAAGTGCTAATTAAATTCCACATTTTTTCATATGTCATATAGTGAGATATGAATACATAAAAGAAACAAGTGTGCTATTTAGAATTACGTTGATAATCATCAGAAAAATTAAAAATGAAAATAGCAAACTCTAAATATCTCAGGAGAGTTAGCTTGGAAGTGAGAGTAGGTGGGATAAAAGATAAGTATTTAAAGCCATTCAGTCTCATTTGACTATGTAGTTAGTCACCATGCCCTGTACTAGTTTTAATATTTTGAAGACATAAAGTACAGTAGGGAGAATAAAATAATGTCCTCTCTTGGTAAAGGCTTCAATAAGTTTCTGAAAAATTTGGACAACTGTAATTGTCTTAAATAACTTATTAGAACTGAAATTTTGCCCAATAATACTAACAGCTAATCTTTAAAAAGTTTTTTTTTTCTTATGCTACTATTTATGAGTTTTTCAGGAAACCCAGAGTTAAAGGTAAAAATAATGTATTTTCCAATATGATTTCTAAGATTAATTCCCAAAGCAATTGTGATATTTGAATCTTGAGAATTTTTTGACACTAGTAATACAGTCATATATAGTATAGTGACATTATAGTCAACACTGGACTTATATAAGTTAGTGGTCCTGAAAGAGTATAGTGGAGCTGAACAATTCCTATAGCCCAGTGCTGCAGTAGCCCAACACAACATCATCATAGTGCAAGTATGACTGACTTGTGCCTTCTCAGTCTATAGTAGTAATGTTACCTATTGGCTATAAATGCCTGAGGGCACTCATCTGGGTCCAGGGAGCTGCCATGGACATAGCTTATCTCTCTTTTTTTAAATTTATCTTTATTGTTGAAAGTATTACAGATGTCCCTTTTGTTTGTTTTCTGCCTCTTCCCAGGCCTTGACCCCCATATTGTCTCTGTCCCTGGGCTATGCATATATGTATACTGGTATATGCATATGAGTTCTCCAGTTAATCACCTGCCCTCCTTATGCCCCCCATCTACCCAATCCCCTTCCCCCATCTTCCCTCTGAAATTCCTGTTTGTTCCATGTTTCTATGTCACTGGATCTATTGTGTTCATCAGTTTTTGTTTGTTTGTTTATTTTTCATTAGAGTCCACATTTGAGCAAGATCATGACATGGTTTCTTTCAAAACCAATGTTACCACTGGACTGACCCTTGGGATTTATTATGCTTTCAAGACACCCATCAGTGATAACCATTAGGAAACTTTGAAGAAAGAATAAAGTGTATTACTTACAATCCATGGACCATACAAGGCAAACCAAGAGGCACACAGGGAGGCCATAGGTGGAAAGAAAGAGGGAGCATGTGCAGGGACCGGGATCTGCTTTTACTGGTGAGGAAGGTGGGGCCTACAGTTTCAAGGGCTCACTCTTTATTGGTGAATTTAAAACATAGGGGCAGGAACCCAAAGGGCAGAAAGAGAAATCAAATGCAAGTAGCCCAAATGGTCAGTTAGTGAGATAACCAAGATCTCCATAATACAGGAGCCTCTGTGGACGGAGGCATCCTGACCATCCGGTTCTATGACAGGCCACATGTTTATTGGAGATTTCCAGCTTTGAAGTGGAGGCCCGAACAATAAAACCTTACTAGTAAATCAAGCACTCGCATTACAAGAAGAAAATTCAACTTTGAGGACTCACACTACAGTTACGCCTGTGTTTGTAGAGACCCCGGGGTAAACAAACCTACCGCACTGCCAAAGGTATAAAAGCATAGCACATACTATTGCAGTAGGAGGCCATCCCATCTATGTAGCGCAAGGGCACTCTATGACTTCCCCACCACAAGGAAACCACCTAATGATGCATTCCTCAGAACATATCCCAATCCTTAAGTGGTACATGACTATACATGACATTAAAGGATACTGTGGTTTGTTTAGGATGGTACTGTTTCACATTTAATACATATTTTCAAAAAGAGACCTAGCATTTATCTTAGAAAACAATATGTGTATTCATTAGAAGAAACAACATAGATAACTTGCATCATTTTTTTTAACTTTTCCAACAAAATCTCTCTAGTAGATACAACCGGGCATTGAAAGGTATACATATAAGCAGGAAAAACCCAAA